CCCAACAACAACGACAAGCAAAAACAGATACGGCACGATTTACCAGTGAACGACAGTTCTATTTCTAGATAAGCATATGTAGAGACAAGCCCCTTCTCGTACGGAAGCACGTCCACCGCTTCCGGTAGAAGTCTCGTCTCGCCCCCCCCCAAAAACACCAGAAGCCTCGGTGCCGCCCGCCCACCAGTTGTAGTGAGTGGTAGTGTCCGAGAGGTTATTATTCAGTCTCAATTCTCCAACAGCGAGGCGCATCGTTTCAGAGGCTGGCAATGAGCTGGGCCGAGGAAAGAGTGAACCCTCTGTGGGCTCGGAGGACCTGTCGGGGGGGAGGGGAGAGGAGCACGATTCGATGGGACATACTTGTATTGATCAATGCCGCTACCATACATCCACAGGCACGATGGTATCTGGTACTGTTGGGGGGTCGCTGGGGGGACTACTTGCGCTTCAATAGCAAGAGCCCCCTGGAGACTCTGTCCACGCACGCACCCATTTTTGAGAGCCCCTCTGCCCTCCTACATATCCCTCTGGATAAATTGTGTACTCGAGTTCTGCACCTCCCTATGCGCCACAACTGGTTCGGTGCAAGGATTGATCGACTGTTTATTAAGGCCGGTCGATGCCCATCAAGGGAACAGGCGAACACACTTTTCAACTGACGTACTTTCGGCGGCACGGCCCGTGCCACTGCTTCAATCAAAACACGCACAGACAGACCTGGTGCACGAGGAGAGCATAGCTCGCGTCGGTGTCGTCGATATAGATCCCCTTGTTCGTGAGCAGCGTCTTCTCGAGACGCTTCGAGAGGCTCTTCTCCAGAAGAGCCGACACCTTGAGGTGCGCGGTGGGGTACATTTTCCAACCCCACCGCCGCCGAAACCACCGGAGGACAAAGGAAGCAGGGAAAACGGAGGAAAGCACGTCAGAACATCGGCTGTACCGTGGAAGAACAAGTGGTGTGTTGTTCGGCGGAAATCAAGCCGCTCGAGAAAGAGCATGATCCCAGCGTACAAGACTCTCGTGTTGTCTTCATCAAATAACGCCACCAAGGCCACCGCAAGGGTTCCTTGCGCCTATCACGAAGGTTGCACAGTCCGGACTGATGAACATGGCACAACATTCACGCTTGGCTTATAGACTGAACAGGCTGAGCTTCGTTCTTGTCGCGAACATTGAGCTGGCGATGAGCCAAGCTTCGTAGCGTTTGTGGTACATGTCCGTCGGCACGACAAAAACAAACGAAAAGAGAGATATTTTATCCAAAACAAGAAAAAAGGAAGCCGAAGGTTTGCTATTTCATCATTTCTTGGGGTTTTTAAAGACAAGGTGCACAGGTTTGTTGGGATCAACAAAGCCTCGCTGCCGGAAACCCGCTGGAAACTTTCACCCAAGGCCACTGAGTGCTGATGAAATTCTGTAGACCAGGCTCTGCCTGGGGCTTGGATGTAGTACCTGGAACTGTTGATGGTACCCCCTTGCTGTCCCATCCTAGTAGCCTCTGTTGACTTCCGAACGCAACACGCTCCTCCTCTCTAATCTTCCCTTCTACACTCTCCATGGGGGCTTGGCAGGACGGCCTCCCCTTGATGGGGGAGGCCGCCCCTGGGGGATCAGCTGAGGGCATATGGCTCTGCGGTCCATAATGCTGAAGAAGCAAGGTTGACTGGCCAGCCGTGGAAGTGTTGGTCCTACAACGTACTATCTAATATCTGATCCCCCAGCGACGGCCTGCCCCCCAGGGCGTGAGGGGGGGGGCGCCCTACCAAGCCCCCATGGAGAGGGTAGGGGGGAAGATAAGAGAGGACGAGTTAACTAGTGTTCGGAAGTCAACAGAGGCGCCCAGGATGGGACAACAAGGTGGTACCTCAACTGTTGTGTAGGCACTACATCAGAGCCCGGTCTACATCAGCACGGCGGTCTCGTTGCAAAAACTATTTTCGTAACGTTTCCGTCGTGCGTCGATGAGGCATATCTGCTACGGCATGAGATGGGAACGAACGCTAATCGTATCCATTGTCCCCGTGTCACTCTCACGACCGTGGCTGAGCATAACCCTTCATTCATCGTTCGTTCCTCTTCATGCCCAACCTCGAAAGTGAAGCCTCTCTGCGCGGAGTTTTTGGATTCTGTCGTGGTGCATGAATCAACACTGCACGCTCAACATCACCGTCGTGTCGGCATACAGAAACGTTCAAGCGAGAACAAGCACGATCCTGTCCAGAAGAAAAGGCATCGACAGCACGACATACAGTGGGGGGGGGGGCTGTTAAGTACCCAAAGAATGACCAGCACCATATCGGACACCGGCACTAACCACATACAGAATGATTTGGTGATTTCAGTCTTCGCCAGCCGAATTAGACTGTCACTTTGTCGTGAACCGGCACTCAACATCCCCCCGCCAATGTGCCAGGTACGCACGACTCTCGCCGTGTCGGCGAACCGTGCTGCACGCCACGAATCCTAAACCCAAAGTGAAAGCCTTCACCGGTAACTATGATACAAGAGTTGCGTGATTTCCCAACATTTTGGTTCCGCAACTATTGCCATCTTGGTTGCCGGTGAAGGATTTCGCTTCATCTCGCCTCTTTTGAGTATTAAGATTAGTTGCGTGCAACACGGACTGCCGACAACTTGCTAGAGCGAGGTGCCACAAAAGTCCATGAGACGGGCACTGTATGCTTGATGTCAGGAAGATGTCAACACAACTGACTTTCGTCTACCCAGTGTTCGCGGCCCCTGCTATGGTGTGCAGCAACACTTCATTTCGTATACCTACCCAAAGAGAAGGGTTGCTACGCCACGTACAGCCTTGTCGCGGTGGGAGAGAGATGGGCTGCAGCTGATCGTGTGGCCGCGTCCTTACCTCCTGTCGCGACCCAGCAACTAGCTCAGACGGGTGCGACCTCCAAACTGCGTCGTCGTGCCGCATGGTAGAATCCAGGGCCTCACGAAGCTTGGAGCTGTTGTGGTCGAGTCGGACCTGACGGTTTCAGATAATGANGGGGGGGGGGGGGGGGGGGGGGGGGGGGGGGGGGGGGGGGGGGGGGGGGGGGGGGGGGGGGGGGGGGGGGGGGGGGGGGGGGGGGGGGGGGGGGGGATGTGCAGGGGTATTGATTGACACGAGGGTCAGCCAACAACAAAACATCAAAATATCGCCGAGACGGGGACGTATAACGCAATCGAAACTAGCGCGAAATACTCGCGCACTACAGAAAAGAGTCGGCGAAACTAGCCAGGAGTCACAACAGCGATTGGTATGACCGGGAGGCACCTAAGGGACCCTGACGATGCCAACGGCAAACCTCAAACAAACATCTAGAACCACAGGTAGTGCTTCCGTCAACGCCACAGATTCATTGTTAACTCATCCTAGACTCTTACGTACGATATACAGATGAATCCGTCGTGCTATGAGTACGAAAAAAATACATATAGACTATACTATACATATATCGCAGTCACGGCTCCGAACTCGACCCTGTCATGCTTGGGCTCACAGGCTCAACAGCCAAAAATGAGCGCACGTGAACACGACAGGGACGAACATCATTCGCCCGGACGGACAGCACGATGTACCCTTGGTCCTTTCTTGCTACACTTCCTTCCCCCCCCCCCGTGGCAGGGCTTGAGTCCGCCCGCGCTCATCGAGCCCCAAGCCAAAGCCCTGTGGGTTGGATAATCGCGCACGCATGTCTTTGAGCTGTAAAGTCGGGTACGTGCGTGTTCTGCTCACCTTGGTTCCGTCCTTAGGCTTAATGCCCCGCTTCTCAAGGTCCTCGATCGCCGGTCTCGCCAGCAGCTGCTCCTTTAGGCTGATGGCGATAAGGTTGCGCTCCAAGTGGACCACGGCGGGGTCGAGGCCGCCGGACCGGTAGATCCTGCGATGCGATTGGTTTCGTTCATGGTAATAGTTTTTATCGGCACGGGTGGGGAGAACTGGTGCTTGTAGGGGAGACGGGGAGGTGTGTTGAGGCAGGTAGACCCACGTGCGTTCAAATTGCCGTTTGTTCGCCGCGCATCGCACGTGGATGAACGTTGAATAAGAGTTCCACTCGATCCGACATGGACACGGTGTGAAAGATTAAGAACGGTGTTGCTTGCGGTGAAAATACTTGTTCGCGCCCTGACAAGTACCGCACCGCAAAAAGTAGTGCGAACTTGTTACTGCAGGCTTTACTTCCAGTGCTGTTGTACCTGCTCTCCTTGAGCTTGTCAAGGTCAGGCCGGGCGCTCAACTTGGCGGCCATTTTGGCGCGGAGGTCTTCCTTGGCCTGTGGCACGCGTGGCGTGCCGTGGTGTGGCGTGGGACGTACAGGAAACAGGCACACGTGGGGAGAAACGAAGGAAGAGAAGAGCTCAAGGCACCGCTTCGGGCGGATGTGTGTGTGTGTGCACTCTATTCAAGCACACACGGTGAAGGGATTTCCGGCTATCGTGGTACCTCCACCAGGTCGCGAGGGCCTCAAGAGCGTCTGCACCGGAGGGGGCGAGGTGCTGCACGTGGGGGAGTATGTCTAACGCCAACGGAAACGATGTTGATCTGCGCGTACGTCTCGCATCATGCGGGAAACGCTTCCAAAAGGCTTGCCACTTTTCCACTTGTCCAAACCTGAGTTGTCTTGCACCACGTGGGGCACCGTGAGTACGCAAATTTGCATGCAGTGCCTGGCAATCTTCGGATCTCCAAGTGCACTCCTCCGTGTCTAAACAAAACAAATTTTCCATCCAACTCCCGCGGTCCAAATACTTCAACGAAAAAAAGTTACGAAAAGTACGAGGCAAACGACGTATGTGACCAACGCAAACACTTCGCTTCCCGACATGGACGCAATCCGAGCACTGCCGCACTCGCGTCCAACGGAGTGAGATTACCTTGGCTTCCTTCTTTGCAGCGTCGGCCAAGAGCTCCTTGTGGCGCATCTGGTGGGCAGCGGATGACCTCGCCTCGCAATGCCTACAGAATGACTGATGGACATACAAGAGACAAGCAGGCGGGGGGGCAATTTTAGGAGGAGGGAGGGGAGGGAAGGACGCAGCGATATTTTTTTGCCGGCTTTGACCCTAAGAAGAGATGGAGTAAAAAGAATCGGCCCATGGCGAATCTGGCGGTGTCACTCCCTCCTTCCCTCCCTCCCTGGCTTGGGATGAAAGCACGCACGCCAAATCATTTGATTATGGCTGTGCCTACTTACTATCCATGTGGTTGTCCTGAACAATAACACCAACACACCAACAAGGCCTTCTCATATCTCCTTCCACATGCGCGTCCAAAACCGACCATCCGCCTGAGCGGCGGGACGCAGAGCACGCCGCTCTCGACCCACCCGGTAGGAGATGGTACGTGTCGACAAAAAACAAACACCCCCACCAAAGCGGATGTAGCCATCATGTCGTTGGCGCATCCCGTGCAGCCAGTCAGGTGGGTGAGAGTAACTCTTGTTGTCTTAAGTGTCCTCGGCCATATGTACTCCCCAAACCTATTAATTAAACCACACACCCCAAATACATTACTATTATATTATTAGGTGAGGGTGAACAGACTCCCCAAACCTGAAAAACAGTTCGTTAAAATCACACACCCCATATACACATCCAGGCCACCAGCAGGCGTTGACAGTTTGGAAACCGGTAGCTGTGAGCAGAGCTGATCACTTTTCTACCGGCAAACACCCAACCTTGAGTCAAATAGACGGTCAACGAAGTCATATAAGCGCTAACTTTCTATTTCCAACTATCGTATGTAATCGTCGGCGGGCTGCTGCAAAACAGAAAATCCAATCAAAACAGCTCTATTCTTTATATCCCACCTTGAAACCATCCAACTGCTTCGTGTTTTCCTCGGCAGAGCCCCCCTCGCTGGCCCCGATCCCCCACATGGCTTCAAGGGCGTCGCGATCGAGCGATGCCGAGGCGGCCCACCGCTTGACGAGTGGGTATGACAGCGCTTGGTCAAGGGTAATCCTGTCGTCGTCGTCGTCGTCGTCGAAGATGTCGCCGTCGTTGTTTTTTATTTTTTTTGGCGAAGTAGCCCCCCGCCGACAAACGCGGGTGCAGCAGACGGAAACACACAAGATCAAGTCAAATGTGGGGCGTGCGGAAGGGGCCCGGTTGACGCCTTGCATGAAACGGCGCATGGTTCAGCCTCGCTCTTCATTGAACACGATTTGGCTGATTCCCAAAGACCGTAAGATCGTAAGGGGAAGGCAACGAACGCCCAAACAGTCCGTCGTTTCTTCAAATGTTCTAGACTGTTCTTCCATATTTGGTTTTGGCTCACCCCCCCTTTCCGCTGGCGCCTTCCAACCGCGCGTACTCGGCATCCAGGTTCGAGTCTGTCACCTGCAAGTATCAAGTTGAAAAAATGTAGAGAAAGCGCCATCCGCCGAGACAGGGGGGACAAGGGACACATCAGAGGGGGTCAGACGACGACAAACAAAATGGCAGCAGTAGGCAAAAAATATATATATGCACCAGCAGCTGAACCATGAATTGGTTCGCCTTGAAAATTGTCATGAAAGATAGTCCCCACTGATCCCTTCAACGACGTGCTGAGTGCCAAAGCCGAACCACGACTACCGTACGTACCCCGTACGATGCCAGTGCAGCACTTGTGTCAGTTTTACAGCCGCGGGTCTTCGTTCCAAGCGAACGCTCACGGAACTTACATTTTTTTTTGTCACGAGAAAAGAGCAACCTGCGTCGCTTGTGGGGGTTTTAGGTAGGCTGTATCATGCGCAAACATTGAGTGTTCCCAAACAGCATCGTTGTGGTTCACAGAGCGGTGGGGGGGGNGGGGGGGGGGGGGGGGGGGGGGGGGGGGGGGGGGGGGGGGGGGGGGGGGGGGGGGGGGGGGGGGGCTGCGGCGGGGCCCTCTGCACTGCTGTGTTTCGGATATAGGCGTAAGTTCCCACCAATAACAGGAATGAATTGACTTGGACACTGGGCCGCGGCAAAGTCACACCGACTGGTGCCGAAATTCTTTCCAGCCACGCTCTCCTAGATCCTGTTTTCTGCACCCCTGTCCCCTCCTCTCAGACATGGCGTTAACGGGACGGGACGGGGGGGGGGGTTCAGAGCACGTCACCCGCCTGGAGGTGGTCGTCGGGGTCGAGGTCGCATAGCTCTACCCAGCGGAGGAACTGGCTAAAGGTAATGTAGCCGTCGCCGTCCGAGTCGCACAGATCGAAGTGCCGGGCCATCTCGTGCTTGGTGTCCTCTCCGCCCTCTCCGGCAAGATGATCCTGGTGGGAGATGTTATTTTTTGGTGTTTAGCTCGTTTTGTTGGTTGTTGCTGTTGTTCTCGGATAGAAACGAAGGCGGACAAATGAAACACGCAAGAGAGTGCACACAGCACCGGGTAGGGCAGAATGCTCGCAGCTTTGAAGCTGCGATGGGTCCGATCGGCCTGGAGCCGAAACACGAAAGGACACCGCGAACGCGAAATAAGCTCGCGAGATGAAGGCGAAACTAACTGTTGTTCATCCGCGAGACACAATTCTGTAAACAACCGTCGAGCCTGTGGATTACAAGAATATGGCTAACGGTGCGATTCAAGCTTCGGCGATTGTCCACTGAGATACACCGAGCGCAAACGGGTACAGAGCAGCCGGTCTAAAGATTATGTGCATACCGGCGTCAGCAATAGCAGCGACAGGCAACCGCTCCAGCCACAATGACAGCCTTACCAGCAGCCATATCTTCCCACCAGGCTATCTATTACCTGAACGTCCGGCCAGGTCAATAGCCCGTCGAACGACACCAGATGTTCCGGTCCGCCCTCACTCTCAGCGACAACCTCCCCCTCCTTTTCACCAGCTTCCGCGACCGTCGCAGCACCAGCACCAGCACCGCTACCGGCAGCGGCACGGGGCATGACCCTCTCCTCGAAGACGAGGGCCAGGGTCCCGGCCTTCATCAGCTCCGGATGCTCCTGTTCCAGCTGCGCGGGGTCCGGGCGCTTGCTGACGAGCCGGGCAAGCTGTTTATCGTGTCGTGTCGAGCAGGATGCAGTGGTGTGGGGATGGGCGGGGGCGTCTCAAGTTTTGCATGTCTTAGATGTTAGACCGGGGAGGGGGGGGGGGTCCACGACGGAGAACATTTGTTGCGAGAACTCTTCTGTAGCTGTACTGTAGTTAGTCACAAATATCTTGATCTAATGTAGTCCGACATCTCCGGAAGCCGTCAGAGATTCATCGAAACTCGTGAGAGACTCATGATCTGTAAAATAAAAGACAAACGACTCGAACGAAACCTACCTGGCGTGTGACCAGAAGGCGTTCCGCCTCTAGCTTTTCGTGCTCGGCCTCCTTGTACACGCCCTTCTGCTTGAGGCGGTCAATCTCCTCCCTCGAAAATGCGTGAGACAGCTTACGCTGGAGGAGCGCCTTGATCAGCAGCTTCTCGTGGGCCGCGGACAGACTGTTCTCGGCCTGAACAAGAGATGCATCGAAGATGCCACAGCAAAACAAGAAAAAAAAAAAAACTAAACAACCTTTGGGGCACAAGAAAACGCGGTGTTTCAATCAACCGGGCCAACGACAAGGTTGGCACCATTTCCTTCCTAGCAACGTGCTTTTTCGCTGGGGCATGAGAAAATGACGTGTGTCGGTGTCAAGGCATTTCAGCAGGAGCCCAAGAAATGGTCGGCACCGTTTCTGACGTACTGACCTGCCTTTCGTGAGCCGCGCTTAGGGCACGGTGTATGTTGTTTTTGCGCCGGGAGCACGAGACATCAAGTATGCAAAACGGTGGCGAAAATGTTCTTTTTTTTATGTCAATGGGCTACGCACGAGTAGGGTGGCTGTTACTGACCTAGAACGAGACGAAGACATTTGAGGAGGACAGACACCGAGGTGTGACCAGCGCCCGAGGTTACACCAAGAGAACATTGTGGACAGCACGAGACACGACCATCGCCCATGGTCATAAAAAGAGATGAAGACATCGTGGACAATACGAGCCAAGACCATCGCCCTGGCGGGCAAACAAGCGCAACAAGTAAGTGTTACAAGAAAGACTGCCCGACACCGTCCGTGTCTGACCTGATAAACGCCGTGGTCCTTCAGGTCTTGGATCGACTCCCGCCGCTCGAGGCCGTGCTTGAGGTTGCGAGTAGCCAAGTAGTGCTGCGAACATCACAAACCATGACGTTGACAATCGGTATGGCACGAGCGTGGTTTGAACGAAGGGGGCGGGGGAACGCCACCAAAGTTTCTTACGAGTTTGATGGGAGGGGAGTCGACCATGCGACGGGTCTACATCAACGCGGTGGTACCTGCTAACAAGGAATGAAATGACGGTCAGGGTGATCTTTCTTGCTCGTTCGTCTGTGGAATAACAACATTTGCGGCTTAGCCGAAGTCTCGACAGACCGAGAGACGTCTCTACCCCTTCCTACCGTTCCAGTTCTCTCTCGCAAGACGGGACCAGAACGCAAGTGTGACAAACGGAAGGTACGGGGAGCGGATACAGGCAGTTTTCTGGATACTGCACACGCTGTTGTGCCATTGTAGCTTCCCGTAGAAACCCACCTGTGGTTGCCGCAGAGGTACGCTGTGCGATAAAACTATTGGTACTTTACAACACAAGAGGGACTATCTAAAGGTTCTGCGTGNGGGGGGGGGGGGGGGGGGGGGGGGGGGGGGGGGGGGGGGGGGGGGGGGGGGGGGGGGGGGGGGGGGGGGGGGAGCGGCAACAGCTCCATGGTCGACACGGGCAAGACTGTACGGTCGGAATACATCGCAAGCGGCTGGTTTTAAGAGTGATGGCGAATAGCAACCGATTTGCAAGTAAGAGGCCCATCATTGCACATTGGTTCAAGCTGTGGTCACGTTTGCGAGCCGCCCCCCCCCCCCCCCC